CCTCTGCGCGACGCTCTAACCACGTCCAGGTCCCCGAGCGTCAACGTCCCGAGCTCTTCCCAGCCTCCCGCCCCGCGGAGCGGAGCGACACGCTATCCGATTGCAGGGCATAGCGTGTCGCCAGGGCCGCCGCCGCTAAGCAAAAGTTCCCGACCGTAAAGCGTTGATGAGCCTGATTGATCCGTCTTTGGGGCATGGCGGGCTAGCCAAGGGAGAAAACTTCAGGGGGAACGCGGAGGAGGCCGGGACAGTGTCGACGCTGGGGGGAAGGGGCGCCTGGGGACACCTCATGAAGCCTGAGAGGCAGCGTGGCAAGTTGGGCAGTTGCAGCGGATTCGACGCACGAAGGACCGCTTTGGCTTCTAGGGGGGACCTGGTGTTAGGGCCGCTCCGTGGGTCCAAGTCGTGGAGCCCCTTCGGGGCCGCCGCTCGCCTCGGCCAGAAGAGCCCCTGCGCTCCCACGGCCGGCGCCCCTCGTGGCCACGCAATGGCGGCAGGGCTGGACCTCAGCGCTGTTTCGCAGGGCTTCGGCCGTGTTCTGTGTTTCGTCCCGGCAGGGCGGTACAGGGAAGCAGGCAGAGCAACACGAATAACAAGACGAGAGGACAGCACGCACGGCAACGTTTAGGCCCGGCCCTGCTTGGCGGCGCGCCCAGGGGGGAAGGCAGCGGGGCGGGCCTTGTCAGAGTGCCGGGATGGCCTCCGGGCCCTTCTCTGGCCCTCCGAGGAGCTGCCGAGGCCGTCCCCGAGGGCGGAGGCGGCCTCTCGGTGGGGCGGAGGGTCTCTCTCGGAGGCCCCGCCGCCCTCTGCCGAGGAGGCCCGCCCCCGCTCGCCCCTCGGAGGCCGCCAGCAGGGTTCGCTGCCCGAGTCTGGCTTCGCTGGCTCTGCGGCCCCCCCCCCCCGAGCCCGAGCCCGACCAGCGGGCCCCCCCAGCCCGGCCTCAGGGCGCCCCAGCGGCCGTCGAGGCCGCCCTTCCCGAGCCAGGCCTTCTCGCCGTTCCCGAACTGCTCCCATGGCGCCAGCATCGCAGAGCTCGGGGGCGGCAAAGAGGGGGGTGATGACTAGGGGGGGGTGGATATCATGGCGGGGGCCATGAGATCTCCCCGGATTTCATGGCGCCTCTTCTTATTTCATTACGTCCCTGGCCCCCCCGCTGGGCCGCGCACATGCTGCCGGTCATGATTTGCACCCCCCCTCTTGGACACCCCCGTCTTGGCCGCTCCCGAAGAGCGGATTTCGTTTGGAAAACGATAGGATAGGCCCGGAGTGTCCTGGGGAAGTTCGTTCTGGATTTCGAGGTGCATTTCGTGTGTTTTTCTGTGGCCCGGAACGCAGACAACAAAACACAATCCACGCGACATTCGCCTCGTCTTTCGCTCGCCGCTTCGGGGCCTTGCCTTGGCAGAGGCCCGCGCAAGAATCCGCTGCAGCACGTCTGCACGGTCGGTGCAGTGAAATTTCCCCCCTCGGCTTAGGATAATCCAGCCTACTTTAGCCTTGACCGCCAGAAAGAATTTCGAGCGCACCCCAAACCTCGAGGCTTTTCACGTGTCGGGCCCTGGGAGGCACTGTTTTGGACACTCTTTCGACACTCTCTCGACTCTTTCCTGGGAGCTCGAAGATTGCTTTTGGGACGTGGCCCTTGAGTGCGATGGTCAGGAGGAGAGCAAACACACAGACACAATTAATCGCCGATTCCCAGGAAAATATGGGAAAATATGGGTAGTGGGGGGAAGACAAAAACTTGGGAAATATACGAAACTATGGGGGATCCTGTTCTTTGTTTATTACCTAACAGCGAAGACTGATAGGTTTCTAGTAGTGTCAAAAGAGCTCACAGATCACTCCACAGGGGGGTCCGGGCAGGTGTTGGGAGTTGCCGGGCGGGCCTGTGCCGAACTCGTTTTTCACCAACAGTCACACACTTCGTGCTCTTCGACTTCCCAGAACTCCATTCCCAGGCTCATTCTGAATAACCGGATGCAACAGTCACACACTTCGTGCTCTTCGAGTTCCCAGAACTCCATTCCCGGGCCACATTCTGGAGGGCCGGATGCAACAGTCACACACTTCGTGCTCTTCGAGTTCCCAGAATTCCATTCCCGGGCCACATTTTGGATGCCCGGAGCCAACTGTAGGCCACTTCGTGGTCTTCGAGTTCCCAGAACTCCATTCCGGGCCACATTTTGAATGCCCGGAGCCAACTGTAGGCCACTTCGTGCTCTTCGAGTGCCCAGAACTCCATTCCTGGGCCACATTTTGAATGCCCGGAGCCAACTGTAGGCCACTTCGTGCTCTTCGAGTTCCCAGAACTCCATTCCCGGGCCGCATTTTGATGCTGATGCAGAGGCTGAGAATGGTGATGCTGATGCTGAGGCTGAGGCTGAGGCAGGCAGGCTGAGGCTGATGAGTCTGAGGCAGGCTGAGGCTGAGGCCGAGGCTGAAGGCAGGCTGAGGCAGACGCTGAGGCAGGCTGAGGCTGAGGCAGGCTGAGGCTGAGGCTGAGGCTGAGGCAGGCTGATGCTGAGGCAGGCTGAGGCTGTGGCTGAGGCTGAAGGCAGACTGAGGCTGAGGCAGGCTGAGGCAGACGCTGAGGCAGGCTGATGCTGAGGCAGGCTGAGGCTGAGGCTGAGGCTGAGGCTGAGGCGGATGCAGGCTGATGCTGAGGCAGGCTGAGGCACAGAGTCTGAGGCTGAAGGCAGACTGAGGCTGAGGCTGAAGCAGGCTGAGGCTGAGGCTGAGGCAGGCTGAGGCTGAGGCTGAGGCAGGCTGATACTGAGGCAGGCTGAGGCTGTGACTGCGACTGCCGCTGCCACTGCGACTGTCATCGCGAATGCGACTGCGACTGCGAGAACAGCAGAACTCTACAACTGGATTCTCATTTGAAGCTTAAGGGGAATGCTTCCATATATGCTTTTACACATCGCTGAGGCTGAGGCCGAGGCTGAAGGCAGACTGAGGCTGAGGCTGAAGCAGGCTGAGGCTGAGGCTGAGGCTGAGGCTGAGGCTGAGGCTGAGGCAGGCTGATGCTGAGCCAGGCTGAGGCTGAGGCTGAGGCTGAAGCAGGCTGAGGCTGAGGCTGAGACTGAGGCCGAGGCCGAGGCCGAGGCTGAAGGCAGACTGATGCTGAGGCTGAAGCAGGCTGAGGCTGAGGCTGAGGCAGGCTGAGGCTGAGGCTGAGGCAGGCTGAGGCTGAGGCTGAGGCTGATGCAGGCTGAGGCTGAAGCAGGCCGAGGCTGAGGCCGAGGCTGAAGGCAGACTGAGGCTGAGGCTGAAGCAGGCTGAGGCTGAGGCTGAGGCTGAGGCTGAGGCTGAGGCTGGCTGATGCTGAGGCAGGCTGAGGCTGAGGCAGGCTCAGGCTGAGGCAGGCTGAGGCTGAGGCCGAGGCTGAAGGCAGACTGAGGCTGAGGCTGAAGCAGGCTGAGGCTGAGGCTGAGGCAGGCTGAGGCTGAGGCTGAGGCAGGCTGAGGCTGAGGCAGGCTGAGGCTGAGGCTGAGGCTGAGCAGGCTGAGGCTGAGGCAGGCTGAGGCTGAGGCCGAGGCTGAAGGCAGACTGAGGCTGAGGCTGAAGCAGGCTGAGGCTGAGGCTGAGGCAGGCTGAGGCTGAGGCTGAGGCAGGCTGAGGCTGAGGCTGAGGCTGATGCAGGCTGAGGCTGAGGCAGGCTGAGGCTGAGGCCGAGGCTGAAGGCAGACTGAGGCTGAGGCTGAAGCAGGCTGAGGCTGAGGCTAAGGCTGAGGCTGAGGCTGAGGCTGAGGCTGAGGCTGAGGCTGATGCTGAGGCAGGCTGAGGCTGAGGCTGAGGCTGAGGCAGGCTCAGGCTGAGGCAGGCTGAGGCTGAGGCCGAGGCTGCAGGCAGACTGAGGCTGATGCAGGAGCAGGCTGAGGCTGAGGCTGAGGCAGGCTGAAGCTGAGGCTGAGGCTGATGCTGAGGCAGGCTGAGGCTGAGGCTGAGGCTAATGCAGGCCACTGCGACTGTCATCGCGAATGCGACTACGACTGCGAGAACAGCAGAACTCTACAACTGGATTCTCATCTGAATCTTAAGGGGGATGCTTCCAGATATGCTCCTACACATCGCTGTTAGGTTGCTTTGCCGGGATAATATTTATTTGTGTGTCCTAGGGCCCCTTCAGATGGGAGCAACGTAACCCTCGGCGCGCCGCCGAACCTCGAGGACGTCGGCGAGGGACCACCCCTTCGGGGCCTCCGCGCGCGCGTGCCGGGCGCTGGCTGCCCCGGCACTGGCGCGCGCGGCCTCGAAGGGGTGGCCGCCGCCGCCTCCCGCGGCGGGGCCTCGGGCTCTGGCCGCCTCCCATAGAGAGGGCATCCCGTTGGGCCGTCTCGGGGGGGCCCTCTCGCGGAGTCGGAGGGTTGACAGGCCTCCTACCCTGCCGCGTCGAGTCAAGGAATTGGCCGTTCTCGGTCCGCGAGAGGGCGGCGCGGCCGTCCTTCTTGCGGGTCCAGGGCCGTCGGTTTCGGTCCCAGGCCGTTTTCACTGAGGGGAGGTCTGCTAAAGGGAGGTCTGTCCACCGCCGACGGAGGCTTCCTGGGGCCGTCTTGAGCTCACGGATGCCCGGAAAGGCAAGGACCGACCACAGCGTTGTTCCGCTTGGTTTGGGCCCCTGTTCTGTTTCTCGTTTCGTCTTTCGTTGTTGCTTCGTTTCGTTTTCCGACGTTGGTTTGCACGCCCCGTTTCGTCGTTCGTTTTCGTTGGGCACCGGCTTCGTTTTAAACATTCGTTTTAAACGTTGGGCCTCGTTTCGTTGTTCGTTGTAAGCGCCACTTCGTTTTAAATATCGTTGTGGTCGGTCCCTGCAGAAAGGTGATAATGCGAATTTCCACTGAAAGAGCCGAAGGGGAAATCGGTGCTTTTTTGACCTCTCAGTTCTATTGGAGCCTCTTTGGGCAGTCTCAAGAGTCTGTTGGGTACTGGGGCCATCTTGGTCCGTCCTGGGAGTCTGTTGGGCAGCATTGGGGCCATCTTGGGCCGTCTTGGAGGCG